ACTCTTTCTTTCTGTGATTTTGTTTTCCACAATCGGCTACACAATATTGCGAGGTACTCTCGAGACCAGTATAAACTTCCTGCTAAATTACTGTGGTTCCCAACTATGGGCACCAAGGACTGAACCACAGTCTCTGGAGTAAAGAAGTATCAACACACTTTTTCAGTTGCTGAGTAAAATGATTAATGTACCCAAATACCTGTATTTTCTAGCACAGTTTTTTCCTAATGGTTTTACAGGGCTTTTTGGAATCTGTAGCTTGCACTGCTGTAAAAAAAACAACAAAAACCCCCAGCCCACTTAAGGTTTCTTTTTGAAATACACGATTGCCATGATTTATATTGCACTGATTCTTTACATGCCATTAAAACTCGGTCATTTACTCTTCAGAGTGACTATAATCTTCTTTGGGAAAAAAAAGCACCCTGAAAGCAGGATTCTTGAAATTTTTATTTTGTAATAAAACTTGCCACAAGCAAATAAACACAATTCTGAGCTAAAGCTGCAGAAGCATTGGGTTTCAGTGCTACCATAAAACAGTCAGGCTGGGATGGGAGATGCTGAAGAGGAAAGCAGCTTCAGCTACCTAGACTTACCAGAAACCCTCTAAGACTGCAATCTTGCAAACCCTTACACATGTTCACACATTATGCATGTGAGTGGTCCCAGTGAATGTAAAGTTAAACATATGTGAAACAGAGCTGGATTAAGGCACAGGGACTATAGGTCCCATGCCCAGGGCTGCAGCTCTGAGGGTGATGTGATTACACCAGAATCTTGGTTTCTTTCTCTTTCTTCTGAAACTTTCTAGCCTCAGGTTGTGAAGCAAAGGTCAAAAATGCGATCTAAGTATAAACAATGCAGTAGCATCTGCCTGAGTCTGAAGAGAGCCTGAAACAACACCTCTGAGAGAGGTGAACTGCCCCCATGCATCCCAGTGTAGCATCAGGGAGTTAGGCCCCAATACTACAAAGTAAATGGGAGCTGTGTGCACTCAATACATAGAGGGATTAGAATTTCCTCGGGCATGAATTTTGATCATTGTATGCTTTGCTTGGCTAAAAATACATTATCAACTACCTACTGTAGTTTTGTATTTGGCACCAGCTACTTAAAACCATATTGCTGCTATCTTAAAACCTAAGAAGTTGGCTGGCCTACTGGCTTAGGAGCTCTTGCATTCAGGAATGATCTAATCCTTTCTACATTTGGCAGAGATCTGACATATCACAATAGTGACACACACTTCAGCCCAGGGGGTGGCACATCATAAAGGCTGATGACTGCGACACAATGACACTGCCAGCCATTTCATAGACCACCATCGTGAGTACTAGAAGATGGGGCCACAAAGTGTGTGGATGCTTCACAGTATGGAGGGGGCAAGGATCCTCAGTTAAAAGGGGTATAGACATGGAGAGAATTCTCACTCACCAAGGAGTGGGGCAGTTAAACTACTTTATTGAGCTTGGCTGCCACCGAGGTCCATGCAGATATTGAATTTCACTTCCCTTCCCTCACTGCCAGAAAGTTCTCTGTTTCCCTGTTGAGGCACTACAATCCCCTCTCTTCTTCCATTCCCTGCTGGATGTGCCTGCAAAGCAGGGAGCAGCTAAATCTAGCCAGGAAGAGACTGGCGGGTATGCAGGGAGCCAGTGCAGACCTAAACAGAACCCAATAGCCACCCTCCTCAACACACTCAGTAAGGGTGTGTGAATGAGGTAAGAACCCCAGAAAGTGGGAGTACATAAAACTTCTCATCATCTTTAGCCTGTAAGAGAGAGGTGGTAGAAGTGCACAGCAGAGGGGAGGGACAGAGAGGAAGGGAGGAGATAAGTCAAGAGGGATAGCTGGGGTTGCAGAGAGGGGTAAGAAAAAGCTGCAAAGTGCTAGGAAGGGATAACTGGGCCTTCAGAATACTGGGAAGGTCTGAGAGAAATGGCCTGTGATTGATGTTCCAATCTTCAGCATGACATGGCATGTGATCTCCACCAGGGCAGATATTGGTACCTTTTTTTTTTTTTTTTTTTTAAATGGAAGAGCTAATGTAACAAGGGCTGTTTCTCCATCTAGGGAGGGCAGACAAAGCTGCCTAAAAGAGAGAACAAGACAGTCTGCTGCTGCTGCTTCAAGCAGCAGCTTCCCTTGCCTCAATGTACATGAGACTATGGCAAACAAGGAAGGAGAGACAATACCATATACAAAAAATCCTAATGACTTGGCAGGAAGAGATCTGAGTGGGACCTATGGGCTTTAAATCTCCCCCAGTCCATAAGTATATACAAAGACTGGAACTGAATTTATTCACACTAGCCTTCACTTGTGATTAGTGAGGATTTTAGTTCCTAGCCTCTGGCTTGCTTACAACAACCATTAACCTATGTAAAAGTATTTAGCCAGTCAAACTTGGCTTTTATCAGTCCAATAGCCACTGCACACTATTTTGCTTTATGACCTCTGACTGCACATCCAGGAATGCTACTTGGAAAAGTGAACTTTTTCTAGGCCAGATCCGCTCAGAGAAAATCCCACAAGGGAGAAAAAGATGTTAAAAAGTAGTCATGAGTTTCCCCTTTTCAAGTGAGCACGAGTCTGGGCCTACAACCCAGATGTGCCACGATCTGCAAGAAAATCCCATGAATCTCACAGTATTCCTGCACAGCTTGGACATTTGAAAGGAACGTTGGGCTTTCCATGCTACTCCCTGATCCTCCCCTCCCCTCAGGCTCTTGGCAACAGGGCTCTATTTGAAGTCATATAGCCAGTACTTTACTGCCTGCACCTAGGGTGACCAGATGTCCCGATTTTATAGGGACAGTCCTGATTTTTGGGTCTTTTTCTTATATAGGCTCCTATTACCCCCCACCCCCGTCCCGATTTTTCACACTTGCTGTCTGGTCACCCTACCTGCACCTGGCCCCCCTTCCTACTTCTACCACTCCTCTAGGGGATTTGCAGGCAGCACTCAAGTTTTGGAATCTCTCACTTGTGCACCTAGAGTTGAAAAAATAGACCCACAGAAGTTTGCACATACACAAACCAAAACCCAATTAAGCCCATAAGAAATGTTACCTTTACTACAACTTAATATATTACTTGGTAAGTGCATAATAAATTGGCATGTATGGAGAGCACACTCTCAACTGTATCTCTTGGTTTTGCACTGCATTTTTAAACAACTCATGGCATCTATTACTTTGTCACTTTGACAGTTTTTGTGGACACTGTATGATTCTTTGAAGTTCCAATAGCTACAATGCAATAGTATTTTTCATGCAAGACTGATATCATACAATGATATCTCTCTTGTAAAGATTGCCATATGATTTGGTATTGACATCATACTAAGTAATGTTTCACTGGATTAAACTTGATCATTCACTGTTTGTTATGCTGCTAGCAAACAGCTGGGTCATGGTAACTTCAGCACAATTTATATGTAACTCAGTAACATATTTATTACAGATCTTTTTAAAATGAAAAACACAGCCTGAAAGTGTAATTTCATGTGGTATTTATTTATAAACACTTTAATCTGAAAACACTGCCATATTTGTCCATCACATTTGTGCTAGCAGTTATGAAGGTAGAACACAGGTAACACAGCAATCAGGTCTACCACAAACATACAGAAGTAATAAAAAACAGCAGACAATATCTACTCAGAGTAGTATGCATATAATATAAGCACAAATGATATGTTGGATAAAACTGTCCTTCAGAGGGAAATGATCATCCAAGACAGGATACATTTCCCTCTCAGGGTACCTAATAAACATATATGAACAAATATCTGTAGTACTCTTTAAGAATGTATCATACAATGGAAAGATTTAAGAAAGTCATCCAAAGAATCATCCTCTACTATTGGTGAACCGTGTATTTTTTCCCCTATAAATACTGCATGTGAACAACAATAAAGACAAAGATTTTTAAAATAGTTTACATGGATTAGGAACAAGCAGCATTGTGCAGGTGGGAATCACAGATCTCTGGTACAAGTGCATGTTGTGTCCGTATTCAACACATAGGAAGTCTCTACCAATATAAATCAGCTGTCAGCACCACTTAGTGAATTCATGTCACTTCAGAGCACAGCACAAATCCTTGATGTTGCTCTGTTGTCTCATGCAACATATTACCATGTCTCAAGGGAGGAAAGAGTCAGGAAATACGAACATTTTGAATGTGGAATGTGAAAGATAGATTTGTGATGTGTGCCTACAACCAGATAAGATTGCTTAGTACTGATCATAACAGGTAACAGCTAAGGAATACAGACACAAATCACACAGAAGAGATAGATTTCCCATTATTAGGAGAATAAGTCTCAATGGCTCAACACTTACTAAATCCAAACTAAACACTGAACAGGATATGGAAGTGCTCAGTGCCCCCCAAAAGTAATAACTCCACAGCAGCACTGCTTACAGCTATACTCTCATGTGTCAGGTGAAAAGGAGCATTGTATGGCTGCTTTTGAAAGCTTTCACTTTCACGACCTTTACTCATTATTTACACCATTTCTGGAGGGGAGTATACATCAGAAATGCTTTGGCCATGACCACACCTTTTTTCAGAAGTCCCAATCCCTTTCCCAGTATGCACCCAAGATATGAACAACTCATGCACCTTGCTTCCGCCCCATCCCACAGATGCATGGGGCACAGCTTTTAGTCTTATGTCGCTCGCTCATTTCCTTGCAGTAAATGAGCAGATATGAAAATGACCCCATGCTATCACTCTAGTCTTTCCATGCTTCTTGAAGGCAGATAGAAGACATGATGGCTCAATAACATGGAACAGCAGTGATGTGCTGCAGGGAGCAAGCTGGAGCTACTTATTAAAATGTCACCACCAGGGGATTCCTCCCATTTCTCCTACCTGGGTCGGTTAGCAAAGAAAACATGTATTAAAACCTTACTCCTATGAACCAACCGGTTGGGTTCCATTCACAGTCAGAAGCTGATTCCTCAACTCTCCCTTTCTGTCCTCCACAGCACAGGAGCGAAGGAGCAACAAGCATAAGGAGCAGAAAAGAGTCTGCAGAGTGCTTCACTTGAGAGCAAGACACCCCTCTATCCAACTTTAATTCTTCAGCATCTACGTTTGAAGGCCAAGAAGAGATTTTCAGGTGGGAAAGGAGACCCAAGGGATGGATAAGAAACCATCAGGGGGAGGGGAACTCTGTGAGAACAAGACAGTGTAGAAACCCTCTGAGTGACAGGCACATTCAGAAAGAAACATGTCAGTAAGAGACTCCGAAGCAAGAGACTGGATTCTGGAGCTAAATAAACGGAGGCATCTTGATTGTAACTACTTTTTTTATTCTCCAATTTTCTTTTCCCTGACTTATTCCTCAGCCTGACATTTTTGTGGTCATTTTTGGATCCAGTCGTACAAGGTGCTGAACATGATCAACTCCTGGTGGCTTAACTGGCTCTTGTCACTTTGCAGGGCAAGTCCCTCTGGGGCTGTCACATTCTGTAGCACGTAACTACGAATGGTAATTTGAAAAAAACCCAACTTGCTTGAATGGAATTTGCCATCCTTTCTATTTGTCTTCCAACAACATTCATAGGAGAATTTTTTTCCCCTTTAGAAAAAGAGAAAGGAAAGACAGTCTTCTACTTCAGGCACTAGGACTAGCCTCAAGAGAGTGAGGTTCAATTTCCCTCTCTGCTTTCTAATAAGAAAATGATAACAAATGTACAGAGCCTCAAGGATTCACATTGCTTTGCATCAATGCTATTCAAATGCATCCTCACAAAGAACTCTGAACTGTTATTTCTAGACAAAGCATATTTGCTTTAATACAAAAATAAATCTGCTGTTAGAAAATTAAAATCAGCTCAAGGTTTTTTGCTATATATCTATATGAACATACACACACAAAAACATACGTAGAGAGAATCATGAAGACTTGACTGTATAAAGACTTATTTCAAGAACTGAGGGGGCTCTTCTACTGTTTTAGAACCTTGGCCAGCATGCCACGCTGCCAAGGCTGTCCTCTTCTGGCACATAGTGGAAGGCATGAGTCCATACACATTAGCAAGTGATCAGATGCCAATGGAAAATCATTTCACAGTCAATTTACTTCACGAAAAAGAAATTTCTAAATCAAATCAGTGGCACCTGCTACACTTTCTATGCCATTTTTCATAAAATCAGGTTTCTTAGATATCTAAAACTATTTAAAGCCATTTACTTAATGCGACATATTATGGTTGCTTTTTATTTATTTTTGCAACTTCAATTCATTTAGACAGAATCTGATTCTGTAGCCTTTGAGAAGCCACAAGAATTCCATGAGAAGCCAACTGGACTGCAGAACCTGAACAACAAAATTTCAAAATATCAAATTTTGGGGAACCATTACATAGCCACACGCACACATAAAAGTTATGTTAAACAACATTATAAAGGTTGCAAAGTTAAACACTCAAAAAAGTTAGGAAATGTCTGAACTGAGGTTGCCTGTGCATATGTATTATGATACAGTCTTTAGTTACATGATCAAATACTATTTTTTTCCATGGGACTCCTGCCTCCTGCCCTCTCTTCCCCCAACTAGCTCCCAGCCTCACCCCCATCATTCCCTCCTTGGCTCCCAATCCCAATCTCCTTGCCCAGCCAGTCTGAATCTCCTGCCCAGCCTCCCAGTCCCATTCTCCCCCCTCCACTCGCAGTTCCTTCTCCAACCCACCAGTCCCCAGTCCCACTCCTTCCCTAATTCCTTGTCCCAATCTACAACCCCACAAAATTCCAACTCTTCTCCCGTCTGCATTTGAGTCAGGTAACTTCCTCCTCCTCACTGCCTAGGGATCAGGTGGGGGGCTTTGAGAGTGCAGGAGAGAGAGGCTGCCTGCTCTCAGTTCCACTGCCCAGACTCAGCATAGCCTAGGCTATCCAGGAACTGCAATGGCAGGGAAAATCCTGTGCAGCCTTGGGCTGGAGTATGCCCAGCGCAGTTGGAATCTTCAGGGTCCCGGCTCTAAAGCATGGGGTGATGGGGAATAGATCGGAAATGGCTGAACTGTTTTGGCTGAAATTAAAAGAAAAAACACCAAGAAAACAAATCAGCCTGAGGCAACACATGGGGGGCATGGGTGAAATCCTGGCCCCACTGAAATCAATGGCAAAACTCCCATTGACTTCAATACAGCCAAATTTCAGGCTCAAAATACTTCCAAAATGATTTTGTCATCCAAGGTCTGCTCTTCCTCTTATTTAAATCAATAGCAAAAGTTTTATTAATGTCAATGGTGCTGGGTCTGGGTCAGGTGCCAAGTGCAGGACTAATTTCAAGATTAATCAAGGAAGGAGATTCATTAAACAAACTGTGTATGACACTAACCTTTAACTGGTGAAGTATGATTGCAGAGAATAATAAACTAGAAAATTACCAATGTACTTATATGAGCTACACTGAACCAGAATTGCAAAGGACTTCCTATATGCTATTTAAAAAAAGAAGGAGATTTCTGATCATCCTGTAGTATAAGAGAGAGGTCAGGTGTTAAAGAACTTTGAGCTGGAAAAGTCTCATAAGCTGTCTATTCTATACCCATGCCAATAGAGTTTCATCAACATAGGAGGGTTGTTTGTCATAATTTATTTAGCTCAATGATCATTTTGAGTTAATAGTATTCCTGAATCTGGCAAGTGAAGTGTTGTGAATGAGTCTTTGGCTAAGCAGAAGGTTTATAAACAGGAAACGAGTGCAATAACTTTGGAAGCTCAGAATAACTGAGAGGAGAATATAGCTTAGATGTCATAAGAGTTCAAGGTAGAGGGGATGTAGTGGAAGGATGAAGGTTAGTGTGTTGCCAAGCCTGTGTTGCGCTACAACCAGTTAAATCTCTGCATAGGGGAACAAATGTGATAAACGGTGGGTTGGAAGACAGAGTGGGAGCAAAGATTAACCAGTGTCAGGACAAGAGTAAAATGCTCTACTTGGGAGCAAAATGCAAGTAACATGAAAAACTGCATCCCAAAATCTAGTAAATGCTTTTCAAAGTGCATGAAGGTAATGTAGCTTGGTCCAGATGAAAGTTTGACTTACAAAGTTCCTAGAATCCCCATGAATATAAATCATTTTAGAGTTCATGGCAAATTTTTATGTTTGTGCAAACACGTTGGACAATGAAACCAAACCAATGTCACTGTTTTTATCATTTCAGTGTTCCGTTCTAATAAATTATCTATTTTATATTAGTGCAGAATTCAATTAAATCCTTCTGGCATCCCCACTTGGTAAATGATGCTTCTCCTTAAATAAAACCTCTTACAAATGTTTTACTATACAGCTGGAGAATAAAGGTAAGGTTATAATCAATTTTACTATTATAAATATCTAACGGATGTCCAAGAAAGACTAGTCATTGGATAGAGTGACAAATAGGTAGCACTTCAGATTATGAAATCTTGTTGAAATTCTACATTAGCCTGGTTCCTTTTTGGTGCCTAATCACACAAGTAAGATCACCTCTATTCTTCTCTGACATTCTTGTCTTTACCACCAGCAAATGCATTTCTAAATGTCTTTGACTAGTGAAAAATTCCTTCTGCCACAGTCTCAGGATGGTAGCTCAACAATTTAGGCATTAAATGTAACTGACACACAAGTTCCAGGAAACAAGTTCAGAAATCCTTCTTCAGAGACTTAAAGGGCCTGATTCAATCCTGAGATTCTTTCCACTGATTTCAGTGGGCACTGCTGGACCAGGCCAAATCCTGCCTCCTACTTTGCAACCACAGAGGATGCTGACTAAGCGGAAATAGTACCAGTCTGGAACAAAATCAGAAGGCAGGATATGGAGACTTATGCAGATGGTTGACACCCACTGCATGATACGGAGCTGTAGCTCATAGGTTTGCCTTTACTATATTCACAGCCTTGCCTTCATTATATTTGTCTGATTTCATTATATTCAGCTGTAATGCAAGAAACTTATAGTATCCTGTAAGACGTTAGCATAAGTGTGGTTAAGTAGGCCATAACACTTGGCATAGGTCAACAGGTACATTTAGATTTTAGGAACTAAGGAGAGCTTGCTCAATGGTAGGAGACAGAATGTTCCAGTAAGTGCTACTGCAAGGAACATGGAGGTATTAACTGCAAAGTTTAAGCAAGGGGTGACAGATATGATCATGAGCTGAAATGGTAGTTACATGTATCAGTATACTAACCTATAGAAGGAGGACACCTCAACATTAATAGGATGATGAAATACAAATAAGGAAAAAGGGAAAAACCCCTACTGAATATGCATTAGATATAGTGGTGTCAGCATAGCATAGTATAAAAGTTGCCTCCCAGCCTGTGGATGTAGGAAATAGAGAGAGATGTAGCCTTTGGAAGGGGCCAGAATGATGGTCCATGGTTATGAGGAGAAAGGTGATGGTGATGAGGAAGATAGTGGCTAACATTTTAGGTCCTCCTGCAATGGATGGTGTGAGTATATGGGTGTGCAAATATACATTCTGTAGTCTCTCTATCTACCTTACTGAGTTAGAGTGTTTGTGACTTTGCTAAATGTATTAATAAACTATTTGGAAATACAGAAGAGTTCCTATAGTGTGAGTATTGCAATTGTGCACTTCAGGGTTCCCAACTATATAGTAATTTTAATAATACTGAGCCCGATCTTGGGACAAGAATCGGTCAAGGCTCAAAGTGATAAATGGAAATCCTTAGGTAATCAATATAATTAATTCATAATCTATGGATCAGGTTACAGAGCCCTGCTCCACAGAGACTTCTTATGCTTTATGCTTATTGCACAGAAGGTTAGAGGAGTGTGCGCATGTGGGTGGGATATTCTCCTCTGTCCCCTAAGGCTGTAGTGGGGTTATGTTCCATGTGGGAGAAGGGTTCTTTCACTCCAACTCTGCAAGGTTCTCCACTGCAGATCCCACCCATTTTGGTTGCATACTGGTTCCAGGACTTGGTCCTGTAAAGTTAAGTATCTCTGGACACTTAACTTTACTTTGAAGAACAATGCTGATGTATGGTTTCAGGTTTCTTTGTGACTGTATATATTCAAGTGATGCCAACATCTACTGGTTGCACCTTCCATTTCTCACTTATTTTCTTCTAATATGTACTTAATATTTATTTTCCCTGATTGTGAGCCCTGGAGCTTGAAGTCCTCTGTTCATCAACAGAGTGGAGAGAGGCAGTTGCAGTGCAAGTTTCCCCATTTGAACTGCTTGCTCCTACTGATGATTTCAGCAGTGTGTTCTACATTCTAGCCAATCTCTTGCAAAAAAAAAAAAGCCAGGGGTATTAGGATGGCTCCACAACATGCCAACCTCTTCAGGGCCACCTTGAGGAAGAATTTCTGGAAAAACCAATGATATGCCTGGGACATATTGATGATGATATTTTCATCCTCTGGACAGACAACCTAAATTCCTTCATAGATTTCCACCAGCGCTTCAACAACCATCACCCCTCAATCAAACTCTCTCTAGAACACTCCCGCACCAGCATCAATTCCCTGGGCACCACAATCTGCTTGAACAATAGAACCCTACAGACAACTATATACAAGAAATCCACTGATCAGCACGCTTAACTCCAGATTCAGTAATCACCCCAGACACTAAAATAAAAAAAAAAAGAAAAAAAATCTGTTATCTAGAGCCAAGCACTCAGATACCACAAAACTTGCTCTGAAGAGAAACAAGGACACTCCACCAGAGAAGTAGATTGCATCATGGAATGGGCCACCTAAATACACTGGGAGAACCTACTTCAATATGGCGGGGGGGACTGACCACACAGCTCTACTTGTCATCTGCTTCCCCACTCAGGAACCCATACAGGGGATTATCAAAAAGAGTTACAACCAATACTCAATGGAGACCACATCCTGAAAAAAATCTTTCCCAACCCCCCTCTTCTGGCCTTCAAATAACGCCCCCGCAACCTTGCCAAGCTCATCATTAGAACCAAGCTCCCACAGACTAGCACACACCAACTCAAAATGGAACCAGACCCTGCCAGAACAGATGAAAAACTTGCAGACATGTCTCCACTGCTACAATGATCCTCACCTCCCACAACACACCTTTCAAGATCCATGGGTCCTATATGTGCCTATCATAACATGTGGTGTACTACATGAAGTGCATCAAATGCCCCAATAACAACTATGTGGGTGAAACCAGACAATCACTATGCTCTTAAATGAACTCACACAGAAAAATGATAAAAGACAAAAACACCTGTGGGCAAACAGTTTTCACAGAATGAACACTCCATATCTGATCTTTCAAAGGAAACCTGTGCAAACACTTTCAAAAGGCAAACCTGGGAACTTCAATTTATAACTCTGCTAGACACCGAAAGCCACAGACTTAACAGGGACACTGGTTTTATGGCTCATTACAACAATTTGTAATACATCACACTGCCTGCTACCCTTCATTGTGCACTTCAAACCCTTTATGGATAATAATCTAACCCCCAATTGCCCACTTCATTTCAAGTAACTGCCTCCAACATGCGTTACCTCTTCTGCTTAACAATCTGTCTAAACTTGTATTTGGCTCAGACACTCTGATTTCTTTCCCCAGACCTGAAGAACATTTCTGTATAGCTCAAAAACTTGTGCCTTCCACCAGCAGAAGCTGGTCCAATAAAAGATATTAACTCACCTATTTTGTCTCTCTCAACCTCTTCTAAAGACATTCTGCCTGCGTGTCTTATTGGATAGACACTACACCTAAGTTCAATCCAGGCCTTTGAATTAGTTACTGTCTCAAACTGCTGACTGACAGTGATCCCATGGCTTTCCTTTCAGGGTGCTATATACAGCATACCTCTTTAAGTTCCAGTTAGCCTCCTTTCTTTTAAGCTATGTAGGCCATTCATATCCTTTGTACTACAAATAGAACTGATACAGTTAATTGAAGGCTTCCCTGCTGCTGAATTTAGCTTGTTACTCTGTAGTTTGAAACTTCAGAGAGAGTTCCTATAATACAGAGCCAAAGGCGACTTCAATTTCCTCTGACCCCACTATGGGCAATAATTTTTTAAAGTAAGTTTTGTGATGCAATAGCAAGCAGTGGTTTTACCCACCTAGCACTTTAGTGGATTACGGCAGTTACTGTCTTGTGCTCCACTGGCTAGAACTATAACTTTATTAGTATATACATACTGGTAGAGCCATTTTGATTCTCCAAAATGAGATTTCCACCTAAATAGTCAAAGCAACAAACAAGATATATAACCATTCTAGGTCAGATTTCTTAAAAGTATTTAGCTGACTAAATGTGCAGATAGTTGCTTAGTGGGATATTCAAAAGCTCCAATAGGAGTTAGGTGTATTTCAAATAGGAGGAAGCAACATCATCCCCATCAGATAAGAAAAAAGAGACAAAAAGAGGTTAAGTGACTTACCCAAGATCACACCACAAGTCAGTGGCAGAACTGAGAACAAAACCAAGGTCTCCTGACTCCCAGTTATGTTGCTTATCCTCTAGGCTGTGTTCTTTTTGCTTGGCCTTCCACTGCTGTAATTTAGACTCATTCTATACCCATCCCATTTTCAGAGTTTCATAACTTATGTTACTGTACCATTTTGCCCATAAGTGAAATGTAGTGCAAAGATATCAGCCCTAAATTTAACATATTTTTTTACCAAACTTGAAGAAGGAAAGAAAGTGGTGGCTGTTTATAAACATTGCTGTTTTATATTTTCAAAAATAAATTTCTTCTGCTCCTATGGTTCAGTAATGGATTTGTCTCTGGAAATATTTTTTCCAAGCCATTAAACGATTAAGAGCAGTGCTGCCTTTCAGTAATTAAAGGGGAGGGGAAAAAAGCACAAATTATAAATGACTGAGTTATTTCATTTAGAATATGCATTGATTGCTTCCCACAAAAATATCCTAAGGATTACAGAATAATATTACATCTTGTATCAGGAAGGCTGTGCAAAGCTGATGAAGCCGAGCCTATTTTTTGAAACAGACCTCAGTAAGGACGTGCAGTAAATAATAATGGGGCCTTAACAAACCCAAATTTGCCTCTGTAAGTATGGGTCTTAGAAGTTTCCAAGAGACAAGGAGGAAACGGACCCACCACAGCAGAAGGCAAGTGAGGAAGAGCTGAGGTCTCTGCCCATCTCCCTAGTATGCATACTTCTCTCCTTCTTGGCACTACACAAAGGTATAACTCCAGCCCTAAGACTAACGTCTCTTATGGACTGTGCTGCACCATCAAGGGATTTGTGGGGGTGAGTGTTGGGGGGGCGGAGGAGGGGGACTGAGCTAACAGAGAGGTGAAGTGCATGGGATTTATGGATTTTTTATGTGAGCTCTCCTTTCACCCTCCCCTGGACTTGAGCAGTCCATAACTTCTTGGACACAAACTTGGGGTTTTTTTTGGAGGCATTATTGCCCTTCTGCAGTATGCACAGGCCATAGAGTTAACTATGGGTATAAGAGGCTGATGGGAACTATAACCTTCCTACACTTGGACATCTCAGACCCATGCATAGGGTACCATGGGAACATCTTTTAATAAAATCGCATCAGATATTTATGTGAATAAATATTATTCCGTTTATAAACACCTACAAGCATAAAAATAATTAAAAGAAATAAATTAAATGCAAAACATGATGGGCCTGACTGTTGTGTCACACGCATAACTCCACTGTCTGCAACTGAGTTACTCCCAGTAGGCAGTAGTGTGAGTAAGATAAGAATCATCACTTATTTACATAATGCTAGAACACCCAAAAGGCCCAAAACAATGACAGTAAAGTCTACCATTCACTGGAGCCTTTTCATTTGCTAGGTCTTTTATTTTTCACAACAGTGTGAATTAAGGGATGAATATAAGTCACAGCTGTGCTATTTAGTTTATGGCCATCTATCGCTATTTAACATTAAGTAACACAATTGATGTAGTTACTGTACTTAAAGGCAATTTGTCAATAGAAAAGTTAGTACAACTGGAATCATATTATAAATACGTTAGCTAGGTATTTGTAAGTTATTTTTGCATGTATATAAAAAACTAAATAGACAGATATATTTTTATAATCTTCACTAAGGGAGGCAAATGAGCTAATCATTTTTACTGTGTAAATAACATGTGCCGTAGGCCCTAATCCTCCAGTGAGATCCATGCGGTGGACCCTTAGGCTTACAGTGAGTCCATTGACTCTCAGACATGTTTGGATCCCTGTGCAGGATTGGGGCCTTAATCAGTGGCAAATTTTGGACAGAATAATTGTATTAGACCAACCAATGAATCAGTCAGCTTCCTCCTAAGATGCATGTGCTAAAATACAAATGTCTTTTATCCTAGTCTACCTATACACTTAGAGATCCATAGAGGTCCTAAATTAACGGAAAGGACAGCATGTAAAAAGTGACAGAAGAGGCGCTGGGAGGAGCTGAAGGAGCTTTGGATAATATTTTAATTCAGGTAGTATTATGCTACTATGTTATGCAAGCTCTTTTATTTTATTAGTAGTGCTCTTAAAACTATGTTTTGACGTGGAAGGCCACTGGTTTTCCTTTGTTAGTATTGCTGGCATTC